AAAGTGTATGTTGTGTTGATTTTAAATAATAAAGAAAATTCAAGAACGCTAAGCCCATCTTTTCTGATATCTTCAGTAAAATCCTCGCAAATGTCATATTTTTGGATTGCTAAAAAAATCAGTAAAAAAAATATTGCTGAAATTTTAGCTGATTTTCAGTTGAATGTTGTCATTTTGACAGAAGTTGGAATTGCTGAAGATTTAAGCCAAGCAGTGAGCCAATTTAAAACCGTTAGTTTTCGCCGGTAGATTATAGCGCATTGCGCACATTTTAAGGGAATAAGTGCCCAACAGACACCAAGACGATTCAACGTATACAACCGGTGAAAACTAAATTGGCTCACTACTTGACTAGCCTATTGGTCCCAAGCAAATCGATTAACGCACCCCATTCTAGTCAAAATTCTAGTACTACACTATGTTTGTTTTGATTCGCTATCTTTGGAGGCGAACCAGCCCCAGGCTGAAAGCCTCCCTAATAAAGATAAATTAATTAATTAATTGATTCGCTATGAAATTTTGACAGATTAAATTAGGGTTCATGGATTTTCCTATGCTTCAAGGGGTGCATCGATAAGCTTGGGACCGAAGAGAGTACCAAAGCAGAGCCAAAAAGTTGAGCACGTTTCTTCGGGACCTTCTGGTCTTAGAGTTACCTCTATGGTAAAAACGCACTTTTATTCTCTCTTTTATTACTGATTCCACTCTTCTGAGGGTTCAAGTTAGAAATGCAAAATACTTGCTGACCATTTATCAAGTCCATAATCAGGAAAACTTTCCTGATTTTTAGCTATTTAAATTTTGGTGTGCAGGCTTGTTTATGTGCCGAGCGATGCTTCTTCTTCTTCTTCGGCAGCTTAGCAGCTTTTCTTGACACTTAGCGGAGGGAGATGAGTGGGGCTTGTCTGTCGGCACCGAGCCGACGTTGGTGACGAATCACCGGATTACCTACTCGCCGTAGGCAACCACGGGAGACTCCGCAGTGTTTCTGCCCAGGCGAACTTACCTCTGGTTCTGCCTGATTCGTCCTTTCTTGACGATTAGCTGCAGTGGTAAGACTTGACTCAGTCACCGCAGCGGGTGTTAAATGGATCCTAGACAGTTAGCCGGGAAGGTACAGTCTCCTATACGCTTAAGGCCCAACCGAAATGACAGCGGAAAAGCCCGATCTGAGGCTCTGAACCATTCGGCGAATTTTTTTTTTTACTTTTGGTTAAAATTTGACAGATGGAAAGCTATTGATTAACCCTGCTATCCGAGCATGGTTATTTATGACAGACAAGAAGTTAAATTTTGACAACTGTGGCTCGAAAACCGGTCGATCGACAGCACGGGGATTTTCGAACATAGAAAATAACTTTTGAAATGTCAGTTTTAACCACGAGTTAAATTTGACTCGGCAAATGGTTCACAGCCTGAGTAAGCCTACTTGCGTGCGGATTGAAAACAAGTTAGAACCGAACTGGCGTTGACGGCACCGTCGAAAAATCGTCTCTTCTAGAAAAGATTGACAGTTGGCACAGCGTAAAGCATGGCCGGTTTAAAAACTTATTATTAGAAGTTTATCCGTCAGGCAAAGTTTGGATTTCCTGTTTTTAACAAACATTTTATATATTTGTTACATTTGGCTTGAATGCCCTCAATGTGATCTTTAAAAGTTAATTTTTGGTCAAGTACTAATCCAAGATATTTCACTTGGTTTGACCAGGAAATTGGAACTCCGTTCATAGTGACTATATGACTACTACTAGGTTTCATAAAGGAAGCTCTAGGCTTAATGTGGAAATATTATAAGTTGAGTTTTGGAAGCGTTGGGAGAAATCTTCCATTTTTGTAAATAAGAAGAGAAAATATCTAAACTTTTCTGCAGTCTGCTGCAAATAACACGAAGACTTCTTCCTTTAGCGGAAATGCCTGTATCATCAGCGTGGAGATGAACTAGCCAAAAATCTAAAAATCTTCCTAATAAAGATTAAAAAAAAATGTGTCATCAGCGAACAAAGATTCGTGGCAACCCTGAGGCAAATCAGGGAGGTCCGAAGTGAAAATGTTATACATGCGTTTGGGCCTTTAGCTTCTCCTAATAGCGGCGATCTACACCCTTGAAAACTGCACTATTAGAGCAACCGTAACGGTCGTTGTCATTTGCGCGACTATTTTAACAGCGCGCAGCGCTCTCATTTTAGTTTAGTCACTCTTCTCCACACCGGTCGCTGCTATCGCGGTTATCAATTTACTCGCCGTAGTCCGTACCGGTAGTGAGCATTTTGACATTTCTACGAATAGCAACCTTTCTACCGCGCTGCTATCGCGCTGCTAAATTTGGTAGCGCGCTTCTCACCAAGAAGCCGACTGCTATTTTAGAGCAACCGTAACGGTACGCTGCTAAACTCATTTTAGCAGCCCTCATCATAGCGCAGCTACCGTATCGGGGGTTGTCATACGAGTAACTAAAATAGCAGTCGGCTTCTCGGTGAGAAGCGCGCTACCAAATTTAGCAGCGCGATAGCAGCGCGGGAGAAAGGTTGCTATTCGTAGAAATGTCAAAATGCTCACTACCGGTACGGACAAAGGCGAGTAAATTGATAACCGCGATAGCAGCGACCGGTGTGGAGAAGAGTGACTAAACTAAAATGAGAGCGCTGTGCGCTGTTAAAATAGTCGCGCAAATGACAACGACCGTTACGGTTGCTCTTAGTTACGCGTATGGCAACCCCCGATACGGTAGCTGCGCTATGATGAGGGCTGCTAAAATGAGTTTAGCAGCGTACCGTTACGGTTGCTCTTAGCAGTGTTGTATTTTCCGGAGCCACGGGGTACAAAACAGCTGTCATACCCACTAAACCAACAAAAAAAACCGTCATTTGCTCTTGCAACCGCGCTCGAACTGTAATGTTGTTTTTATAATTTCGCCATCTTTGCAGTGGGAAGTGCATTTGGGATCTAACTAATTGGACCAAAAAATAAGAAACCAAATAAAATAACGAGTAAAATTAACAAATAATGTCGTGTAATGAAAACAACACGAAGCATAACACGGCACACTGGGCGGCAAAACTACACCAAATAGGGTGAATTGTAACACGCTGGTCACAAAGCACCTCATTTGTTTGTTATTCTGCTCCCTTGGAATGATTTTCTAAATTCCCTTGAAACTATGCTCAGATTCGCTTTGATTTCGTGCCACAGTTTCTTCATAATCATCCTCAGATTTTCTTTGGAATTCTCCTCAAAACTCATAAGGAATTTTCCACAAAACTATGTTAAAATTTATCTTAAGAATAACCCTCACAACTCGTCAGAATAGCTGAACCAGAGCTACCTTCAAATCCTACTCAAAACTACTACTACTACTACTACTCTAGTAATTATATTGAGCATTCTCTAAGTAATCCCTCTTGAAATACTAATTGAAACCGAGGAGGGCGACACATCTAAATCACGATTCTAGATGCTCAACAAATCAACAAAGCGAATGAAACTTCTTGCATTCCTCGCATCTACTTGCATCGAGCATCATCTACTTTTATATCTATCTACCAAAAATCTACCTTTTATATCTATCTACTCAGCGTGCACGCAACTAACCACAACAACGCACAATTTTACCTACATCGTAGATACCAAGCCCTCAATTGAAACACAAGATTTGCAAGATTCATAAACTCACGAAAATTAGCAATACCATGGACTTTCTGGTTATCTGGCCGGTTTTAATCATTTAATTTCAAGCCTATTACGTATCGCATATTAGCTTATTGTTTGCTCCCAACTAAGTGTTCTATAGATACACTTCCACAGGCATTAATTAAGAGCTTTCGATGTCTGTACCATTTTTGCATTAGTATAATTGTGTAGCAAGTACAATCATACTCTAAAGCCCAAGGAACACGAGAAATTTTACAACACGAAAAATACCCAATCCAGACCGAGAATCTAAACCACACACTTAGAAAAAATCATGTAAATATAGGTGCTCTGAGAGTGACATATACGAGCGTCAATTTTGACATAAATTTGAGTCATAACAGACGCAACATATAACTCAATCAAACGTACTTTTCGTCGAGCAACGAAATTTTCAGTCTCGGAGTACTTAATATTACATGACATGTTAGTTTACGTCTCATCTTTTATGTCAAAGACGGATTCCGTAACTAATAAAAATAGTTATTTCGAACATTTCGAAGTGTGCAGCCAGCACCCTGCTTTTTAGCTATGCCTTTACCGACTGAGCTAAGAGTTAGGCATTCAAATTTAATTGAAGGCTATTGTGAACATGATTGATCAATCAAAATTTACGATAAAGAGTCATTTGTGGCAAAAATGAGGATTTCGTTTTTTTATTATTAAATTATTATTCTAAAAATATATGTTAAATATTTTAGTTACACCCTTAAATGCACCACATTTATGTTTATTTCATTGAGTTTACAATCAGCACATGAATTATATATAAAAAATGTTGTGTCAAACAGAAAAATTACAATCAATTGCTTTTGATACGGTTTAGTACGAATCTCGAAAGACTCTAAATCGGTACTATATGGCCGTTCCAAATTAACAACGTAACATATGTGCATCGTCTTACTTCGTTCCGTGATAATCAAGTTCGAATTGAATATGCGTAACCTAAGTGTCCCTGCATATGATTAGTGTTCAAAAATCAAACAAAAAAAAAACTTGCCGTTGAGCTTCTACTAGTTCCCAATTCCCGCGTATTTTCGTGCTCCAATCTAAAAGACATCTTCTCAGAAAACATTCCCAAGTAATCACCATGAAAGACAGAACAATTCAGTGAAGATGACCAAGTTTGATGCCCTTAGATAACAACAAAGACAATCAAGAAGCAAAAACCACACACTCAGTGTTTCGAAACCAAAAACAATTCAAGCATAATCATGTGCATTAAAGCAACACTGTCCGATAGCACTGACGATTGTTTCGTTACCCCATTCCAAATCTTGCCACCACCCCCCAACCCCCCATGCTTCTTCTAGTGAACGTGACGGATAAAACGCTCCAAGAAAGCGAAGACGAACTGAAAGATATCATCTCGAATGCGATCTTTCTCAAGCCAATTGCGTCGATCAAAAGCTGCAGCATACTGCACTCGGTCGAAGATCTCAGCACCGATTCTACCTTTGTGTACAAGAACCGCGCCAGCGGGTACGACTCGAACCGGAACAGCAAACGGTTCAAGCATCGCAACGAGGAGATGTACAACCGGATTCACCAGCATCAACGTCAGGACATCCTACTACCACCTAAGACGGAGCAGCAACAACAACCACCGCAACCACAAGGACTGACGGCGCGGGATTCGAGTGCGGATTTGAAGGAAAAGACCAAACCGGAAGGTAGTAACAATAATAACAACAACAACAGCAACAATAATTGTTCGTTGTCGCAAAACCGTGGCTTGAGTAAGAGCATGATCATTCCGACGCCGGCGAGAGATTTGAACAACGTTTTCGACGATGAGTACGAAGAGTACAGCGAAGGATTGTTGGATAAAATTAGCCAGTGAGTGTTTTCACTTTTCGTATGATGGTGAGTAATCAATATTGACATCACTATTTCGTTACAATACAGGTACCTGGACATATCATTACTGAAAGATATCACGTTCATTCTAATGTGCCTGTCGGTGACGTTGATGTCGGTCGGATGTCCATACATGCTGTACTACTTGCCGGCGTACGTAATTTCCCAAGGTAGGTGCCCTTATGATTGTAATTCATAATCCGAAACTCGAAAGAATTAGTATTACTACAAGACTTCTAAAATAAGGACTGACGATGCTCGGTAGCTTAGTGGTTACCGTTTCTGATTACTGAGCAGAAGGTCCGGGAGTTCAATTCAATCCCTGGCCCGTCCTCTTCCAATGTTTCACTATATGTACCTTATTCTATCCCCACTAAATTTAAATAAAAACAATCTGCTGCTTTTACTGATCGCGTCACTTACCGTAATGAATCCTGATCTAAAAATAACCCAACATCCACTAACATGATTATCCTTTCCGGGGCAATTGTGGAAGATACAGAGGTAATGTCGGTCTCTAACAACAACGATTTTTGTTCCTTCCACAAAGACCGTGAGGACGTGACCGGCGTTGGTGCTGATCTAATAGTCCAAATCACGGTGACGCCACTCATCTGAGTTGATTACATAGTGTTGACCAGGACCAAGTGTATGATTGTTTCTAACAAGGATTACAGTTGTTTAAGCGGTTAATGCGAAGAATCATCATGCCTGTGAACTGTTGCGTGTTGAAGTGCAAGTCCACGTCGGACAACAAACAGCTCACTAAAGGTCCGTTTAGACTGTCTGATTTCTTGGTCTGATTTTGACCGCCGCCAAAGGCGCATTTCCTTTTATTATTTTAAATAAAATGAGAATGAGTAGGTAAACTTTGTGGAGTCGGAAATGGTTGCTCAGGAGAAACACCGGCAGGGATCTGGCTCATCTTGTCCTTCAAGAATTGCGATATGAAGACGAAAAAGGATTTCAAAACTTTGCCCGGATGTGGATATTAACTTTCGACAAACTAGTGGGAAAAGTTCTCTATATATCTACATGGTTCCTTGAGTTATGAAAATTTATGTTAAGATCTCAATTCTACATATTTCTCTGAAGACCTTCGGACGTTCCTGAAGTTTTGTTTCTGTTCTCTGGAAAAATATCTTTGAAGATCAACAAACCTTCCTGAAGATCTGCCAATTTCACGGTAGTTCTGCAGATTTCTTAGAAGTCCTGTGTGTTCTTCAGAAGTTCTGTAAAATTCTCTAAAAATCCACAAAGTTCCTGACGCCATGCAGATTTAAGATCTTTAAATATCTCTGATGTTCACTTAATTTCTAATAATCTACGAACTCCTTCAGAGTTCCGTAATTTTCTCCGTAGATTTTCATGATTTAATAAATATCTGCAAGGAAGTTCTCTGAAGATCAATATTTTTTTCTGAAGTTGTGTAAATATCTCTAAAGATTAGCCGGAGATTAACTAGCCTACGGCTAAAAATCTCCTAAATAAAGGAAGAAAATAAAATCTAAAAGTCAGCGAATTTCCCTGAACTTTTGTAAATTTCTCTTAAAATCCAAGAACCTCAATAAAATTCTGAAAATTTATTTAAACATCTGCACATTTTTCAGTAGATTTGCTATCATCCTTCTAAACTTTTCTGAAGTTCCTAAAATGTCTTAAAAATTATGTAAAGTTGTATTTCTGCTCTGAAGATCTACGAACTGCCCTGAAGATCAATAAATTTCTCAGTAGATCTCCGAACTTCTCTAAAGTTCTATAAATTTCTTGGACTTCCATAAAATTCTGAAAGTTGTACGTTCTGAAGTTCTAAAAACATCTCTTAAGGTCTACGGATTTCTCTGAAGTTCTTCAGATCTATCTGTTTTCAACTTCCATGGAGTTATGCAGAATATTAGACTACTAAATGTCTCTGAAGATCTGCAAAATTCATTGAAGATCTACAGATTTCTCTTAATATCTACTCTTCTGAAGTTCTGCAAATACCTTTAAAGTTCTGTAAAGTTGTCTGAAGCTCCGAAGTTTTATTCTCAAGACCTATTGCCTTGAGGCTCTATAAATTTCTCAGTTGATCTGCAAACTTGTCTGAAATCGTATGAATACTTTTTTCAAAATCGCTGAACTTCCCTGAAGTTCCACTGAAGATTAATTAAAATTTCTGAGATTCTAAAAATGTATTATACAATCACACTTTCTTGAAGCTCTTCACATTTATCTGAAGATCTATGACCATTCTTGTTATTCTTTCAGAAGTTCTGTACATTTTTTCAAAGTTCTGTAGCTTTGTTCTGATGGTCTACGAACTTTTCTGATGTTCAATAATTTTTCAGTAGATCTCTAAACTTCTGTGAAATTCTTTACTTTTCACTGTAGATTTTTGGACTTGTCTGAAGTTCTGCGAATTTCCCTGGAGATTTGCAAAACTCCCCTTATAGTTTTATAAATTTATCTGAAAATACTTTAGCTTATGAAGAGCTTTGAGTGTGTTGGTTTATTTCATTTAAATTCCGTTATGATTGCTTATCTTTTGACAGATACGCGTATTTCGTCTACTACTTTCAGACTTCATCAGTGCCAAGTACTCAACACCACTTGGCGTACTTGGCACTGATGAAGTCTGCAAGTAGTAGACGAAATTCGCGTATCTGTCAAAAGATAAGCAATCATAACGGAATTTAAAGGAAATAAACCAACACACTCAAAGCTCTTCATAAAGGGATTTCGTTAAGAGGTTCGACAAATTTAAAAGATTTACTTTAGCTTGCTTGAAGTTTTTGAAATTTCTTTCTTTCTAAAGATCTACGATCTCTTTTGTGAAAATTTCTGAATTTCTGTAAATTTCTTTTAAATTCTGTAAAATTTTCTGAAGTTATAGTTCGGTTCTCAAGATCTACGAACTACCCTGAAGTTCAACAAATTTCTCCGTAAATCTCCGAACCTCTCTGAAGCTCTTAAAATTTCTTAGTAGGCTCTCAGACCTGCCGTTTGGCATGCTTATTATTATATAATACATTATATAAACACTGTTTAGTTTAGCATGCCATGATCAAAGCCATTACGACATCTTTCTGCCAATCACACTGGCTATTTTACTGAATGAGTCGAATGAAAATTAAACACAAACCCATTTCGTTCGACAAATCAAACAACAAATCTAATCATCATGTCGAAAAAGTGTGAACGCATCCAACCATTGCATCCGACAAAATTATCGAGCAGTCCGCTCGAATCAGACCAACAAATCAGATAGTCTAAACGTATCTTAACAATAATTCCTTCCACGGAACTAACATAGGGTTACCATATGGTATCCTAAAGGAGGACATGTCCTCCTTTTTCAATAATTTGTCTACATCCTCCTTTTGCCCGAAAATGTCCTCCTTTTTAATTCTTACACTTTTTCCAGCAACATATTCATAAAATTGTTTTCAAAGAGCGCTGTTTGCAGAGCTTATTTGTTTAATCATGTCGCAATCTCATATTATCTAGCAAATGCCATTCGATGGTGGGAGTAGGAGTATACTACAGCTGTCAACCCCCTACATTTAGGCTCTGAACCATTTGGTGGATTATTTTAACTTTTGGTTAAAATTTGATATCTTCGGATATCCTACAATTAATTATATGATTTGAGTAGTAGCTATACTGAAGATCCGAGAGATGTCGCCGCTTCAGTGGTAGGAAAATCATTTTGGCAGTATGGAGAATATCAGAAAATCCACGATTTGTGACTAAACATGCTTTCATAGAAGGAAACAAATAAACGAGTGTTTACCTTATCACCATAGTAATGTACTCGTGCAATTTTTGTGCATCTAAAACTGCCCATAAAGACGATAATGAATAAAAACTGAAAATTTTCATGCATTTCCAAATGGTTACCTACCATTCTCATACATTCGAAATTGACTGGCCCTCTGGATGTGGATGATGTCAAAAACAACATCACATGATTAATTTGGCGCGCGCGAACACTAGACTTCTTTATCGAGTTAAAGGATTAACGCGTGCACATACCGAATCACATACGGGACTTTCTCAACTTTAGCGAGCTTAGCTGGGAGAACCGGTAGTAGGGTCGCAAAGAGAATACTAGCTTCTTATTTTCTGAAGTTATTCGATAAGCCAACTGTGAAGTCGGGTCGAGCTTCAGACTAAGAATATTTTTGTTTATTGAAATGCATTTTCCTTTTATACAGTTTAAGTTACATTGATTCATGAATGTTGAAAAGAGTCATTTGGGAAAAAGAATGAGACGACTGGAGTGACACCAAAAATGCGCATCCTAGCAATATAGGAAATAATGGTTATATTTTGTTTTTTTTTGTATATTAATTTATTTGATAAGGCTCAACCGAATTAACTTAACAGAGCCGAGGATTCATGGTCACTATACAATACATCTTAAAGCTATAGTCAAAAGGTACAACACAATAAACACTTTATCTTCCGCTATCCAAAAAGCCTCCTCCATCATAACTGGAGCCGCTTCCAGTAGTTTCATTGCATGGCAAATTGTTGTACGCCAACGAGGGTCAGAGTGCGTCCATTGCAGCAATGGACGCAAAACGTGGTCAGCACTCACACACTCATAACGAAACGGTTGCTTTCCAAAGTCGACGACGCATCGACCGAAAGAACTGCTGATGAAGAACAATGAGGAGGACCACACAATGGTTGCTGCCGAGTAAACAGACGATCGCGTAGCACACATCGAGAGTGGCCTGCTTTTGTCGACAGCCGAGTGAACACTGGTTATATTTTGGTTGAGCGCCCGGCGTTGTCATTCGAAACCTTTCTTGCTGCGCGAACAACCTTGGCCCACCTAGGAAGGGTGGAAGAGGACGAGGGAGCGCTGCAGTCCCTAAGAGGAAGAGGTGACAATTGGCTTCTTACTCTTTAATTTCTATCTCTATCTTTATCTATGTCTATCTCTATCTTACGCACATCAAATCAGCCAATCACGAGCTGGTTCACGTTTGACAGAAAAGTGGTTCATTTTTGCCCCCGTATTGTCACCTCTTCTCTTAGTGCAGTTCTAGTGACGAGTGACAAACATATGGGTCGTGTAAAGATGCAAAATTGCATTCTTGCCCGAGCGATGGCTCGGTGCCTGGAGTGGATAATTTATTAGCATGGTTCATATTGATTGGGGTTTTGATAGCTATGT